GATTGCCATATAACAAAAAATACAATTGTTTTATTAACTCCTAAGCCACGCCAACACCAGGGTTTGTTCTAATAAATTCTAAAGTTTATTTCATTAGTGCTGAACCTACTACCTAAAATTTCACCTCTGGAAACTTTATCTCCATAAAGGACTTCACCACGATTTTTTTTTTATACTGGATATACTGATGTTATGCTTTTCTCCGAACCGATTTGAATGTTTTCCTTGTTAACCGTCGCTTTTTACAACATTTACAATAAATAAATAAAAAATTTAACTATTTAGCAAAATTTAGTTTAATCAAAGTAACGCTAATGGCGAGATCCGCAACTGCAAACCGAAAAAAATTAAAGATTTCATTTTTAATTGACCGGTAATAAGTGAGTTTAATTAACTTTGTTATAAAATTTAGACAATATTTTAATAAATGTGAGTTTTTTAAATTACAAAATTTGATTTTTCAGGAAGGCAGTAGTTATTTTTATTTATTATTGTTGAATACGTAAAGAAAAACTTGAAGTAAGTTGTATAATTATCGAAAAATTCAAGCAATTTCAAAATTAACATAATTGTTGGTTGTTTACTTGGTGCACATTTTACACTCCTATTAGATTTATTTTACTCTTGCTTTGAGGAAGTGAAAAAGTGGAGCGAACTCCACGAAGGCATGAGTAAAAACTTGGTTAAAATTAACTTTAAATGTATTTTTGAATAAGCAATCGGTTACAATTCGTTTGAAATCGCTTCTCTTCAGTTCAATTTTATGTTTTTTACGCTGCTTGTTGTTTTCGCTGTTGTTGTCGCCCAAACTTTGCGAGAAGAATAGCGGACCTGCGCATTGCGCAACCTCTTATATATAAACCTTGGTATTACCTTGCGTTTATACAAGACAAGATAATTGATGATACGTATTATTTGTCACATTGTTTGAGTAAAGTAGGCGTCTTGACAAAAACGGTATTTGAAAATTTGTAGGCAGTGACGAAGACAATGAGAGAAGTGTGAATATATAAGTAAAAGGGTGTGAATGTATTACTATTGTGTCTTCAAAATTGACTTGTGTAAACCCCAAGTATCGTCGTATCGACAAAGAACGTAAATAACAAGAAAGGACAACTCGTTATAATTGTTTTTTGATTGGATGAAAAGAGAATGCACGCCCATGTGCCATATGACGCAAGAAAATATTTTTATTTTGTATGAATAATTTACAGATAATACAATCTACAGTTATTTTAAAATTGTC